TAAAAAAAAAAAAAAAAAAAAAAAAAAAAAAAAAAAAAGAGAAAAAGAAAAAGAAAAGAGCTGGATCATGGCTGCTGTAGCATTAAGAAGTATTGATTCATTATTAAAATTGTAAGACTTTAGTTTTTTATATTAATTGATTCAACATGATATTAGAACAAACAAAAGTCTTATTGTATTAGTTATGAAAGTTCGACATTTGATGGAAAAGTGCATATGGCAATGAACAGTGATAATATAAAAAATAAATAAATTTAAACGAAATGATTCGAGAGCTGAAATCTTAGGTTATAGTGACACACTCAAAGCAAAATTTAATAAATAAGAACAAACCTAATACACTTCCCTTAATTAATGATGAGCTAACCAAATAAACCACCTAAACATTATATATTAGTGCTCACTTCTCATTATTATCATTCATTAACTTCAAATGCTTACTTTTGTCGTCTTGAAAATGCTGCAGCCAAATTATGTGTAATTATTGAAGTACAGAGAGAAGGAATGAAATGTGCATGTAAATCTCAAGGAATTAGGATCTTCCTTTGTTGAAGAGGCTTCATCAACATGTCCCAATGGAAGAAATGAAGGGCTTTTGAAGGGATGCCTCCTCAAGGGTTGTTCTATGTGACCATATTCAAGTTTCTACAAAGTCGTAAGATCATGTATCAATTTTGATTTAGTATTGTTACAATTGCAAGAATGTTGATGTCATATTGATAGAATGGTAAAAGAGTAGCTGATGGACGAAGTCGAACGACCTTACGAGGGTTGATCCAAAAAGAATCATTGTCAATATGACAAAGAAAATTGGAAACCCGTTGATAGGAGAGCCAAAAGGGTTGTTATCACCATGTCTAGGTGATTGTTCAACAAGAACAAATGTTTATACAAAGTTGTAAGTTCATAAATTGTGTTGATATAAGCTCAGTATCAAGAAAGTTGGTAATCTGATGATAGAAAAGCCAACTACCAAAGTCCTAGTGAACCACTTTCCTTAATTTGGCACTTAAATTTAAGATGCCTACCAGTGCTCACTTCTCAGTATCTGTCATTGCCATGAAGCCAGCCATAGCCTCAGTGAACCACTTTCCTAAGCTTGGCCCCATGATTATTGTCATAGTGCTTATTGGAAGCTAAAATATATTAATTTTATGTAAAATTATAAATTTTTTTGCTCGAAATTGAAAGACGCTTCCAGCAGAAGGCTGCACAAAGTGGCTTCTTTCCCGAGCTCCTCCTCCTTGAGTCTTGACAGCAAAGCAGGTCGCCGGTAGATGGTTCTCCGTCGCCTTCTGGTGGAGCTTCTCTCATTTCCGATCACGGCTCATCACTATTGTAAAAGTACTTCTTTTGAAACTGATTATGGTGTAAATTTGTAATTATTGCTTGAAATTAAGGTAAAAGTTTATTTACGTTTATTTTTCTCTTCAAATTTTTTTTTTTTGTTTTTTTTTTTTTTTTGAGGGACAGTTTCTTTGGGATGGATATTTTCTTGAAAAAGAAACTAATTTATATTGGTTGCCGGTGGAAAAATTCTATTGCTATAATCACTTGCGGATTAGGATGAGAGCTAAGTATAGAAGACTATTAGACGATCAGCCAGTATAAAAGAAAAAAATCGGTAGATCCAGCACGGGTGGCCATCGATGCTCACCAAGTGCTAATACCATTGTCGCCAGTTGCTATAATATGTTATCAATAACTTTTTCTTGTAGTCTCGTCTCCATAAGAATTGAAAAGCTTAACAAGTTTGGATGAAGTTAGGAGATATTTTACATACATATTTACACCTGGAACGTGGGCATGTATAAAAAATATACATTTAATAAGAAGACTTATTCAATTGGACTTTTGAAGACTTTAATAGGTTTTTTTTAAATGATGGCATATATGGATTTCGTGAATCTTTTATGAATTTATATAGAATTAGTGGAAGTCTTTCGCAAACTTTTATAAACTTTTATTTTAAATTTTTTATAGATATTTATAGAATTCAAAAAATTTTCATTTGAAATAAAATTCACGTAGATCTAATATAATGATGTGAAATTTTCATTTGTGAGGTGTTGGTTCCCATAATTCTCCTTTCCTTCCCCTTCTTCTTCCCATATAATAATAAAAAAATTAAAAATTTAATATCTTAATTAAACAAATATAATCAAAATTACACATGTATATGATAAACAATAAATTCGATATTAAATATTATTAATATAATATACTTATAAAAATCAATATATTTAAATTTAATTATAATTTTTTCATATAAAATTTTATAGTTTAATTTAAAAAAATGGATATTTTTCATAAAAAAATGAATGGAAAAAAAAAGTTACAAGAATTCAATTTAATTTTTTCATAGAAAATAGAAAATAGAGATAAACAATAAAAGAGAGAGATAAATGAAAATAAATGTAATCAATAGAAAAAAATAAATTTTAATAATACCTCTAGTGTTCGTAGGAGGAAAAAAGAAAGGAAGATTGGGAAAAAAATAAGTCAAAAATTATAAAACCCGTAGTCTTGCAGGCCTAGTTGTAAAAATGGGCTCAAACCTAAGTAATTCTACTAGAAGCATTGAATGGGTCAAGTCGAATCAGTTTGCTGGTCCACCTTCGAACTTGATTTGTCCGGCCGAGCAAGCGAGCTTGTATTCGTGAATGTGGCGAGAGAGCACGACCCAACTTGCCTCACAAAACCTCGACTTGGTTTGTCCCACCAACTCGACACTTGGTGGGACGAGTTGAATCGAACCAACTCATGATCTAATTACGATTCTCTTTTTTGGGTAAAAATTAAAAATTGCATTTTCGCTCCAAGTATACTGAAGACTCGAATTTGTAAGGAAATGATGAATGTAGGAAATTCTATTTTGTCAAGAAATTTATAAAATTGTAAGAATCCTCATCCTTTATATGGACTTAGGACCAGCTACAATACCTAAACGAAGTTAAAATTATACACCAATGAATATTTCACCTACAATTAAAAAAAAAAAAAAAAACAAATGAAATTTCATCTTAAAAACAATAAATCTAAAAATTAGTAAACCAAACAAATCCGTAAAGATTACAACTGCAGAAATTCTCAAGCAATTGTACTAGTCGATTGTTTTGTACATTAGAACCTCAAATGTATTTTCTTTCTACTTGTTTCTTTCATCCAACAAAATCAAGCACATGCGCTAAATGCAACCTTCAATTCTACAGTTGACACTAAATGCATTAGTAAACCACGCGTCATAAAAAATAATATTGAATATTGTTTTCATTTGTTCACTACCATACTAGAAGATCAAATTTAATGATCTCCTCAGTTTAACATATTAAAATATGCATAAAAAATATCTAGCTACACCAATAAAGACTTCATTTTGTTTGGTAATAGTATTAGAAGAAAATAAGAAGATACTGAATTTACCATAATAGAGATGCTTAAATAGGTATATTGCATCTAATCAGTGACTGACAAAACTGAAGAAGGCGACAGCGGTGGATCATTCAAGGTAGGTTTGGGAGCGGGACGTGACGGGATGGGACATTTTGCTCTCCTCTCATCATTTCCATATATATATTGCAAATGAGTGTAAATACGAAAAAATATGTATGTATACATGCACATATCATAAAATGCATTGATGTTCCTTTCATCAACAATCTACAGTTTATGGGTTATGGTTTTATTACATATATCAGTTTTCAGCAATTTAACAACTGGTCAACTGCAAAGGTACAAAAGAAATTTACATTTACTACTTTTGCTCTTCAGCTGCATACAAGGCCTTGATCTCCTCGACGTCGTCATAGCTACCGAGAAATATTGGTGAGCGCTCGTGAATCTTCTTGGGAACCAAGTCAAGTGCCTGCAAAATAAGATTTTGTTTAGTCACGTCAGTTTAGAGCTGAACCAAACTAAGCCAATATGGCTCTGTTTTTGAGGTGACCTGGCATCACACCATTTTTAAGGTTTAAATACAGGCCCACATGGGTCAACCCACGCAGGACGTGACCTCTACAACCAAGCCGACCCGGCAGTAAATGCAGCCCAGCCTACGGCTCGGCCCATCACTGGTCAGGTGTGATTTTTCCACACATTTTAGCACCTCTAGCTCAGCTATGTAATCAAATATCAAGAACTCATAAACTCATACCCGCTGCTTCCCAGTAAATGCTTGTCCTCCAGCTTGTTCCATCAAGAACGACATGGGGAAAACTTCATAGAGAACCCTGTTTGATGCGATTACACAAGTAACGATAGTTTGAATAATGGCTATGACAGGATTCGCTTATCAGTCATATCTATATCTTTATATAAACAACATACCGCAGCTTCCCATTTGGGCTTTTCTTATCAGCGGGGTACAAAAAGATGCCTCCATAAAGTAACGTGCGATGGACATCAGCTACCATACTGAAAATCAGAAGCCAATCATAAAAGAGGATATAATTAAGGTAAGCGCCTAACTCTGGTTTTCGAAAGGAGGAACTGTAGTTTCAAAAAAAAAAGTGTTGCCCATAAATACCCACATCACACTTCACACCAAAATTTTTAGCTTTATGCCAATTCCCCCTTGGGGGAATATAGTTTAAGTATGCCCCTTATTCTATTTTCTTGATCAAGTGCCCCATTTGCCTAATATGCAACAGGAAGACATGAAAGTAGTTTGCTTTGCTTAAGATTTGTTGTAAAGTCTAAGACTATTATTAGTTCCCAACCATGAGAAGAATGGAATCCTAGGACTAGATTCAGAAAAGAATTAAAAGATTATCTTTTCCTCGAAGGGAATTCGAGATAAATATTTCAAATTCAGTTCCAAATTTTCAGGAATTCAAGAAAATAGAATAAAAACTCTCACAGTAACATTCTTGCAATTACCAAATCATATTGACCATTTGACAATGATTTCTACATTAAATTTCCCATTACCTTCCGATGTATCTTAGAGATTTTGGTGCTGAACCATCTTTTGGAAACTTGCATTTTTCTACATACCTGAAATTCATATAATCATGACATGTAATGAACTAAATAAAATGTGGGATGACTATATATAAGGATGCATACTTAGCCGTTGGACCATCCCAGTTCTTGGCATTTCCTTCATTAACTGAATATATCTTCCCTTTCTTGGGAATCTGTACAACAAAAGAAGTTCAAACCAGGAGAAGTTAAAACACATGACACTGAATCATTTTTTTTATCAACTAAAGGAATGGGAAAACAAAGTTCAAATTAATTAGCTTGATCGTACAAGTGGATACTTGGATTGATACATTAAAGTTTGAACCACTAATAAGCAATGGGAGTATCTGAAATATTTTGAAATATCAATCAAATCAAAAGGGTGATGGGTTTACCTTTATATCTGGATGGGTCAATATGAATTCTCCAAGAGACGGATCGAGGGTGAATCCATTGACTCCCCTTCCAGCACTCAAAACAAGCTGCAAAATTATCCCGTGAACAATTATTAATGGCTAGTTTGGTAATGTTGATTGAATAGTACTAGACACTATTAAATAAGAAAACTAGGCTAAAGTCTTGTCCATTGTCTTGCCAATCCTAATACTGTATGCCAAACATTCATAATAGTTTATCATGCAATCTGTAATAGATAATATTTAAAGCAATAAAAAATACCGTGCAGGAGCTTCCATACATGCAGTAGCCTGCAGCTATCATATTCTTTCCAGGCTGCAAGACATCTTCTAGTTCCGGTTCACCTCCATCTTTGATCATGTAAATGCCGAAAATCTAGACAACAGAGAAGTGTCGAGTTCATTACAGCCTCATGACGATATTCTCGAAGAAAAATGTCTTTTTTTTCCCCACATTTTTTGACTAATATGTTTTAGTGGAGGTAGGTATAAATTAGACAAGGTTCATACTGTTCCAATAGAAACACCACAGTCAATATTCGAGGATCCATCCAATGGATCAAAGACAACACAGTACCTGCATGTTCAGCATCGATGAATCACAAGCTAATATAAATAAAAGAGAAATTAAAATAAATTACATTTCAGATCAGATGGTTAAAGAACTATCAAAAATTTGAAGGAATGATAACGCACTTTCCACGCTTAGATGGCTCCACAAATGTTGCCTCTTCATCCTCTTCGGAAACAAGAATGCACTGCAAGTACATTCACAATTTTTAAGAATTAGTCTACAATCTTATTATGTTAGAAAAACAAAACACTTTCACTGACTTACTGTGCGACCACTGCTAACCAAAGCCTTGATAAAAACTTCATTCGAGAGCACATCTAGTTTCTTTTGCTCTTCACCCTTTAAAACAGAAAGGCAAATAAAGTGATTATATTTTTAACCGAATCTATTCTAAATTCAAGTAAATTTGCACATTATGCTTAAAATGACCCTGGAATAAAATTTCCAAGAACTTGCCTGCACATTGGTCTCGCCAGCAAGCCCTATGAGTTTGGCCAACCCGGCCTGCAGAAGTACCCAATTGACAAAATAGGCCATTATTAAAAAAATAACACCATAAAAACTTTTTGGCAGAACCGAAGTTTAGCCCTCATCCTCTTCCGGTCAGGCAAAGATTGTGTGTGTGTGTGTTGGGGGGGGGGGGGGGAGCGAAAATTATTGCATAGAATTGAAAATCCTCCATCCTTGTAATATGAAAGAGAAAACTTTGGGAGTAGTACTACGACTCGGAGTTAAGCCCTTAGAAATTCATTGTAACGTACCCCTTTTAACCAACCCCGAGGGGTTGATTCAGTGGTCAATGGCACGCTAGGTACACAATATTGGACATATAGTTGACATGATTATAACTTTATATCTTCTTGAAGCTTCCAGTGCAGTTTAATCCTATATGCAAAACACATTATAAGGGTTTAATCATCATTTTGGAGGTCTTGAGATCAATTCTCCTCCCCTCCTCTCTCCCCTCCACCTCTTTGGAACAAGTTTGCCAGCTCTCCAAAAGAAGAAAATGAAAAACAAATACATTAACAAAAAAAATTTTGGGGTAAACTTTTTGTTTCAATTTTTTTTTTTTTACTTCAATTATCAGCGAAAGCATCATAAATTTCATTGTTTAAACCAGTTATAATAAAATAATATTATCATCCTATTAGGTAGTGACTGTATACAATAATGGGCTATTTTGATTCTTTTTTACTTGATACGTGAACTTGAATGTCTTTATACACATACGCAAATAAATTGTAAAACATAAGATATTTTCCAAGAAATGTCGAAAACTTTGAAGAGGTTTTCCACATTTATCCACATATCAAATACACTTCATTTTCACATCAAAACTAAACGACTTCTATATATACTTTTGTATAGACTTGTGAGCAAGTGTATTCAAGGTCCTCTGTAATTTGAGGAAGAAAAATAAAAGCACGAGACCAAAATAAAAGACAACAAACTGAAAGATAATTCCAATAACAATAGTTGATACTTGTAATACTTTTTAAGTAAAAAGAGAGAGAATTATTTGTCAATCAACATTAATGAATTTCTATTTCTATAAAACTATTATATCATTACTCATTTCCTCTGTTTTTCGGCCTTTACCTTTTTGAATTTGCATCATTTACAAAGAGTAGGTGTTAAGGTAAATCTTTTTAAAATTTAAAGAACTCGATTGTCAATATCATATCAGCATTCAAAAAAGCTTAGAGTTTGACCTGTCTAAAGTTCAAACAACGAATCGGATTCTGAAATTACTATTCTTAAACGAGATCAACGGGTAAAATTCCAATTGTTTAAATATAAAAACGGTAATCTGATCCCCAAAACTCAATAATCACCCCCAAATTCCAATAAAACCACAACAATAAAGATAAAAAAGTGGGATCCAACCTTGTTAACAGCAGAACAAACAAACTTGCAGCCAAGAACAATGTGACTAAGCAAGATAGTGAAATCCCCACGGGATTCTGGGTGTTTAGACTGCTCATTCAACACAAACCTCGTTATGGTCATCAAATCCGTCCGATGTGCATCAGCCGCATGATCCATTTTTCCCCCAAAATACAACAGAAGATTAAGTCCTCCAAAATATTTTAAAAGGTCAAGGCCGTGAGGCTATATAGTAATATTATCTGGTACGAGTGGAACATGATTCTAGGAATACAAAAATCAGAGTGCTGACACACAAATTACGTGTGTTTGTGGGCGGATAGGGATGGATCACGGAGGAGTGGAGGGAAAAAATGGAGGGCTATCTGAATATTGAACGGCGGGTTCAGATGACACGTGTTGATTGAGAAGATGCCACTTCTTTTGCCCTTATTCTTCCTCTTCCACATTGGATTCTTGTTCTTATTCCTAATTCGGCAGATTCTTCAATCCGCTGTAGAGATCAATCGGTAGTTACAAGGATGACGCAAGGGAGATTTATCGTTGGGAAAGTTGACGAAATGGAAAATGAAAGGAAATTTGTTTTCCCGAGGAAAAGGAGGAGGCATTTTTTCATAATTGAAAAGATTACTTTTACAGAGACTTTTAATTTTAATTTTTGCAAATATTTTATTTTCAATTAAGGTCCTCACTCTTTGTGCATTGTAATACTCATATTTTAATTTTTTTTTTTATTTTACCTTATCATCGACCTTTTATACACATCTCGTCTTTGGTAACAATTTCTTATCAAAAATTTAATTGAAAGAGCATAAATTGACTTGTTTGACGATATATTTTTTAACAAAATTGATAAATGTAAAAGTACGATAATTTTTTCCTTAATTTCCAAGCTGACAAATAGAATATTTTAACCAAAATATCATTGGTGATAAGATAAGTTAACTAACGGAAGGTTAATGATAAAAATTCAGTGAAAAGAATTAGAGATATAAATATTACAATAAGAAAAGAATATTCTAAATACAATTTATGTGATGTAACTTGTGAAATTATCGTGCGAGTATAATCACTATTTTTGTAATCTTTTGCTTACGAGTGTTGTATGGTTTAGATTTCGGACTGTGCAATACAACTCTCTTTTAATTAGTTAAAGTATTTTGTCAAAGCGTTGACTCTCATTAGTTAAAGAAACAGAGAGCAATCCAAATTGTGGATACTATTTTTTAATTCTTTTATCATGACTAGAATTTTTATATACACATCAAGCTCTATATTCAATACTATTACGGCATATAACTTATACAATGTATTATTCTTTTTTATTATTCATGTAAATTTTTCAAAACTAGACACTATACAACCTCCCTCCATCATCTGGATAGGACATCACTACCACGACCATAACCTACCTTCAACATTATGGCACCAAATTCTTTCCTCATAGATACGAAAATCTTAAAATTGGAATTTATTAAAAAGTGGAGATGAAAATCGAAAGAAAGACCAATCACAATCCATTTCCCTTTCGTTGTTAGCACCGCCATCTATTTGATCTTATGCAAATATTATCATTCCAATGTATATGAAATTGTGATCGAAGATTAACATTGATAGATTACACATCCCTCTAACTGTCATTTCGGGGGAATTGGACTTATATAAAATTTGCGAGTATTCCCTATTGCTCTGCATCTGTCATATTAAGGGATAAAAATCACACTCGGTTAAATATCGAAATATTGATCAATTTAAAAAGATCTTGAGCTACTCCTCTTAATAAGGTTGATTTTTTAAGATGGAACTCAAGTCTTAATATGGTATCAAAGCCCATTAAACTTCAACGAGCAATTCGATTCGGTTAAGACTCGAAAAATAAGTACACAGATTTCAAGATTGGTCTGCTCAAACGAGCCACCATCTTGCGAGAGCATGTTAAGGGATAAAAATTCATTATCGGTTAAATACCGAAATATTGACCAATTTAAAAAGATCTTGGGCTACTCCTCTTAATAAGGTTGATCTTTTAAGATAGAACCCCAAATCTTAACATTTCATACCTACGTGGTCGAGGAAATTATCCTGTAGATAGTATTCTAGACATAAGTAGAAGTTCAAGACCACGCGGTTCAACTTTGGGTGACAACAAATTATTAGGTAGGAGAATATGGTCTGGAACTTGCCACTTATCTTCATTAAGTTGAGGAAATATAGTCTCAGCGTACTCTTTAATAATCGGTCATGTAATAAGGAGAGTATATTGTTCTCGCTACAAGCCTCAATACATAGCCATTACGACTGTATGCTCACTTGAAAAACTCTCCAACTAAAATCGATTATAAGTGCAAGTGTTATTAATCAAGTCACCACGTTTCCCATTGTACATGCACATCTCACGAAAAAACATAAATTTATCTAGTGGTTTACATTCAACTTTTGGCAACTTTTACATTCTAGAAGAGTTTATCCTCTTGAGCCGAGGCTAGTATGCTCGTGCAACTCTATGATTCCACACGTCGGTTAAGAAATCACTACCGCAGCTTGTTACAAATGTTCTCGATCATTGTCAGAATTGGTAACTCTCGATCCTTCTTCAACAATACATTGGAGACTCCGCATTGTTCGATGATATCACGTTATATTGACGTCGTGGAAAATGTGACTGCGTCCAATGTTCATCCCCATTTTTGTTAAATAATCTCATGCCAGGAATGATTTACTTCCTATTTTGACCATAAACTTATTACACTTCTCAACACTATAAGTTTCGATCGCTCTCCTGAATAATGAAATGATATCTTTGCCCCGATACTCAGTTTTCCTTGTATATGGTACATGCAACACCCATGATTTATCTCCGAAAAAACTTCAATGATACAATTTATTATAGAAGGTCCTTAATCAATTACAAAGGTAAGGTCCTCGACACCTCGATTACTTTTCATAGCTTTGTGAAGAGCCAATGCATCGACAGATCATTCTCGCTATCAACTATATCAAATGCAATAGGGTAAATTTGGATGTTGATATCTTGACATATAACAATAATCAACTTGCCTTCATGGCTAGCTTTTAGAGTTGTACCATCACCTAGAATTAGGGAGTCGCATCGCATTTCAAAATCCTTTAATACATTGTCCAAGAGTCATGAAGAAAAACTTGAAGCAAATCTCACTCTCTACCTAATTAAAAATGTCGAGTCAGTATTAGTTGTTCTCATGTTATGGCAGTACTTGCTAATTTACCTTAACTCTCCTCGATCGAGTTCACTATATCCTCCAACACACAATTTTTGCTCTTCCAGGCCTTTTTGATAGCTCATGACCATTCCGTATTCTCGACGAACGTCGTTAATGATATCCAAAGGTCTATAAATCGTCTGTGAGTCATGATACTTGTGTATTATCTGTTGACCAATAAACCATGCTCGACCTTGCTTGTGATCATTTCGACGAATTCTCACTTCGAAAGTATATTCTCGTATAAACTTGCGAACTACAAACAATTTATTCGTGTCCATCTTCGACACAGATAATTATCAACGGTGACTTGTTTGATTTCTTTATTTTGAACTCAAAGTTGTATTTCAATGCAATTTGATACATAAATTCTTGAAGATCTTTTTTTTTTTTAAACATTTGCTCGACATGTAAATTCTCAGAATCGGGAATGACACGCGAATAATTAGAGGAAGGTCCACTCGATTCAATCTCTGAGCTTCCACCCGCTTATATCTCTAATGAGATAAAGCAATCAAATCATCATTTATAAATTCATTTTCATTTTCATTGTCATGAACTACGAAGGAGATTCTGTATGTAATGGTGAGATTACAATGAAGAACAATTGTCTTAGGAATAACCTCATCATCCTCACGCGTTATCTCCACTGTATCCCAAAAATCATTAACATTATGGTCTATTCCATTCGAATCTTCATGTTCATCTTCGATGGCATTCTTCTTCACTAAAGTCATCCAAAGAAGAGTCGTGTGCATTTTGTTCAATTATAATAGATAATTCACTTCAGCTTCATAAGTAACCTTCATAGGTGAAATCAGAATGGATGAATGCTTATTGAATAGAAATCTCAGTTCTATGTCATATGAGAGAGGTCGACTTTTAGCTTCTTTTGTAAATAGTGGTACATTCCTGCATATAATGTACTCGATGTTATAAAAATTGGAATACCACCACATATATCACTTGTCCATTTCCATACCCATCGATCTTTTTCATCCAATTCGAAAATCACTAAAGTAACAAATTCGGATTACAGCCATATCTATTTAATAAAGTAGAATTTCTAATTATAAGAAAAAAGTTGGAAAATCGGCCTAGCCCATTGGCAACAAAATTTTAATTAAAAAAAGTCGGGCCAACTGTTAGGTCTAGCTGTTAATAGTTGGCTGGCTGGTGTCATGAATCTTGATAAGTGTATTTTATACACTTATTTAAGCCATTAAAATTGAGTATTTGTTGATGAATTTGATGAAATATGGCTTAATCCTATATATATATTATGTGTATGTTACAATCAATGAAAAATACGAGAATAAAGAAAATAAGCAGGAAAAAATGACTCAATTACATCAAGGGCAAAGTTTGGGGACTAGGATGCAATAATCCAAAAATTGAATTGGACCAGAAAAGATACTTTGAAGATTGATAGGAGTCAATTGAATTCAAATTGGAGTAAAAAAGGAAAGAGATATGGTTAGAATATTGCCATAAATCGACTTCAAATCATATAAGGTATCTTCAAGATTTTTGGTCAACTTGAGATCCATTTTTCGGATGGATAATGTTTGAATTGGAAAAATTGTATTTCTAGAAGAATTGTAGCTCTTTTAACTAGCTTTCCAATGCACTTTGAATCACCTAAATCAGACATTAAAAGAGAAAGTTATGATCAAAATACGAAAGGTTATGCAGAGACAAAATTACGTGCGCGCGAAGGCAACTTTACTTATTTGATTCAAACTCTTTTGGAAGACAATTTGGACGTGAATTGGAACCTAATTTTTATCATCTTGGAAGCCGACAAAGAGGAAGAGGAAAGCGGGATATACATTGAAGAACAAGACTTCATCACTTGGATCCGGAATTGAAGGCATAAAGTGGAGGATTTCAGATTCTTTCAATACTTTAATGATTCGGGTGATATCATTCTTTTATTTTCCTGCTTTTCCTATATTTATATGCTAGGCTAGATATCTTTATATTAGATGGATGACAAAACTGATTGACTCTTAGTTTTTTATTCAAGACCTTATGTTTTTATTTTAATTCTTGTATTGTGGTTTCTTTAATATGCATATCTATATTATTTTAATGTTTGCGCACCATTAGGATAATAAGTTGCTTATTCGTAGTGTTGGAAAACTCACGGTAGGTAGAACACTGTTATTGGAACGTATGGACAATGAATGTTAGGAATAATATTTGTGATGTGTGCGATCATGTGTGATAATCCTATACATCAATGCGTGTTTGCCATATGAATTCGGATTAGGAATAGGACCGTTTCGTGGTAATCAGAGGTTTATTATATATTGGAAAATAATAATAAATAAAAGTGAAATTATCGATCGTCACAATTGCATGAGTTGAGATAATTGTCATAGGTTAAGAATTAGAACTAAGAGTTGATCAGTGGCGTCGGAAATCCAATACATTCACTCACCTGAATTCTAAAACAAATTCTCATAAATTTTTAGTTGTAGAACTTAATTAGCTATTCAAACAAACTTCAACTTTTATTAATGACACGAATTTAATTATATCGAATACACTGGAATTAGACCATATTCCCTGTGGGACGATAACTCTTTCATCACAATTATTACTTGTACAACGAATCCGTACGCTTGCGGGATTTTAACGAACAAATCTCGTCTAAAAGAATATACACACAGATGAATTTTTTTTCTTATTTATGCTTAGAAAATTATATATCTGTTAAAAAATTTATCTACCTATTAATTTATGTTGAAATAAAATTTATCGATTAAAAAAGTATACTAATTCAACGAAAACAAAATTAAACATATGTAAATATACTTATCGACTTGAAATGATAGATATAAAAAAATATTTTATTGTGCAGGTTTGATAAATTTCTAAAATTTTTAGGTTGAAACAGAGGAAAGGTGATAGAGTTTTTATTTGTGTTAGAATAAACAAGTAATAAAAGTTAATTGATTCTAAAATTTTAGGTGGGAGTGTTTGATTTTTATTTGTTAACTAAAATGGTAGTATTATCAATTAAACAAAACAATATTCTATAATTGCATAACATACTTAAGAACATTTTTATCTTTTAACGTCCAAAAGGTTATTGAGAAAATATTCAATTGTTGAAAATTTATGAGGACAAAATTAAAAGTACCCCGAACTTATTACCATCACCGCCCAATTTAAAACACCTACACCACCAAGAAGAAGGCTTTGATGTCAGACGACGGATTTTTCCCAAAATGTGGTGCAATTTTGGTGGCGTGATGTTGACAACAAACGGTAAATATAGGCGGTAGTTAGTGAAATACATCGTAATGTAGAAGAAAATTAATAATTATCATAAATTAGAAGAAAAATTACATACACTGTAACTTTTACAAAAATAAATAAATAAAAAGGATTCTAAGATCCTCTGAAAAGTGATTGAGAATTCAAACAATAAATGAACGTTAGGGCGGAATAATTTCACCTATTGGTTACCTTTACTTCATAAATCAAGATTCATAAAACCTAAGGTAGTGTTCGGTCGAATTCTTCTATTGTATTCAACTTACCTCTCTCGAGTTCTCATTGAGCCTATTTAATTAGTTTAATTCCATATCTCTATGCAAATTAAATTTAATTAAACGAAACATTGATTCTAAGAATTCACACACGACCGCAGCAATCAATATAGGTATCTCTACACGTTATATCAATTTACCGGATTTTAACATGTGGTCTAAACAAATAATCCGCATCTCTACGCAATCATTGTTCACAAATCATCTAATTAGTGATCAAGTAATTAAATGTATTAAGAACAACATTAAAATCAACACATAAAATATAAAAGCACTAGAATCTCAATTGCATGAAATAAAGATTCCAAAAGATTACATTGTTCGCCCTAAAATCAAATTTAACTACTCACTAATGGAAGAAAAATAGGAAATTGTCTTAGAATACATCACCGGATTTGTAATAAAGATGTAGAAGAAAAAGAGGAATTCTTGCACCAAGATCTCCTTCCTCTTCCAATGAATGCTTCCAACTTTCAATTCTTAGTGTTAATCTTCTTGAATTTCTCCTTTGAATCTCCCTTCTTGTTGTTTTTTCTCCAATATGTCAAGAACACGTGGCTTGATTCCATAGATTTTTAGTGTGCGGCTCCCCTTAATTTAGGTCTTCAATTCTGTGTTTATAATGTCTTGGAGTTTAGAGAAAGATTTTGAGATGAGTTGGGCCGAAAAAAGAATGGTAAAAACCTAAAAAAATTACTCTCGCACGGCGGCGCCTAGCCGCTGCGATTTGGGCGCCTAGGCGCTGACTTTCTATCAAAATTTCAGCATTATGGCGCCTGGGCGCTGATGACTACTTCGGTTGCACTGGATAACTTTCAGTATTTTTGTCATAACTTTTTCGTTCGATATCCGATTGAAGTGATTCAAGATGCATTGGAAAGATAATTCAAAGGACTACAATTTTGCTTCAGGAATCATTCTCCAATTCGATCTTTTTCTATGTCAAAATGAGTCTAAATGTGAGACCAAAATTCCAGCGCAAAACTTTTTGGTTGGAAAATGATTTATGATCATATTTTGACTAAATTTGATCCCTTTGACACCTTCCTTTATCCAATTGGCTTCTAGAACTCTCGGATCTTCACTTCAAGTTTCGACATGACTTTTGATTAATGGCATTTTGATCCTCGAACTTTAAATCTCTTACGTTTTGGTCATTTCATCCAATTTCGCTAGCTTTTACCTATTTCCTTCATTTGACCTCTTTTAGCTCTAATTTTCTTCAGTTCCATCAATCAGTAAAACAACACCAAAATCACTTATTAGCACTTCTAAAATACTTTTCAAAATAGCAAAATCTTGAAATTAATGGTACGATATAATGAGTTTAAATCACTCGTCAGCTACACTTTGTCCAACGAGCTCTTTACAGTTGCTTCACAACCCAACCAGTCTAATCTCTCGGCTTCACAACCCAAACTTTGTCCGACGAGCTCTTAACAGTTGCTTCAAGTCTCAGGTTTTTCTCAATGTCTATTCCCTTAATCGTTTCTTTTTAATTTCTGTGATAATTGGTTCGTAATTCATCATTTCTTTCTGCTATGTTCTGTTTCCATTTTGTGTTTAATGATCCGTTGATTTGCATAAATGCATAATCTTCAGTTTACTCATGTGCTGTATGATTGATAACAACGGCAATCCTTTTACAGTTTTTCCAGAAATTAGGCAACTCCGTTACTGTGAAAAGTATTTTATTTGTTTATTTATTTTTTGTGAGTAAATACTTCCGTGACTTGCAAAATTGATTTACCGTCGACAGTTTCCAAAAGATTATGGCATACGCACACCAAACTGTACCGGTTTTATTTGTCCCTTTTATGGTAATGTTTGTTATTGATCTGTGATACAGAAGTCTATTGGGAGAGTATTGAAGAAATATTGACACGAAGTGGTGGTCTGGGATACAGAAGTCTATTGGGAGAGTATTGAAGAAATATTGACACGAAGTGGAGGTCTGGTCGGAGTTGCATGACTTTTCTTGAAAGAAATCAGATTCATAATCAATAGGTTTTTTCAGTTATTTAGCTGAACTTGCAAATGTACACCCTAAGAGGTAGTTACAGAATGGTGACTGGTGCATATTCTAAAGGTCCACTTATTAATATTCATTTTAGGAGAAAATTTTCTTTATGGTCAATGAAGAAAGACCCAGATCTTGAATTAGCTTTGTCTCGAAATCGTAGATGGATTGTGAATAATCAGATCAAGAACATAATAATCAGATACCCTGATGATGCCGTGCCAATAGATTTCCTTCAGAAAAAATTTAAGTCCTTAGATCTTCAAGGCAAAGCTCTTAACTGGCTCAAAAAGTACCCCTGTTGCTTTGAAGTGAATTGTGAGAATGACAAGTATTTCTGTCGATTAACAAAACGAATGATGTTTTTAGTAGAGGAGGAAGAATCTGTTAAGGATATGCAGGAACCGGTTTTTGTCAAGCGGTTAGCAAAGCTGTTGATGATGAGCACAAATCAGAGGCTTAATGTCTCAAAACTTAATGAATTGAAGAGAAACTTTGGATTTCCGGATGATTATTTGCTTAGGATTGCAACCAAGTATCCTGATATGTTTCGAGTTGTCAATTATTCTGGGAGGCGAAGTTCAACGGAGATTGAGCTCACATCCTGGGACCCTGATTTAGCAGTTTCTGCAATTGAAGAATTAGCTAAAAAAGAGGGTCGTGAACCATGCTTTTCTTGTTCATTGCCATCTACTTGGGTAAAATCATGGGAAAAGTTTCGAGAGTTTAATTTCACTCCGTATATTTCGCCTTATTGGGAACCAGGGGGCTTGGTGGAGGAATCAATGGAAATGGATAAAAGAACTGTTGGTTTATTGCACGAGTTACTATCACTGACATTATGGAAGAAAGCCTCAATCCTAAAATTAGGTCACTTTAGAAGAGAATTTTTGTTACCACAAAACTTGAATGTTCTGCTGCTTAAGCATCCTGGCATATTCTATGTTTCAAATAAATATCAAATTTATACGGTTCTTCTCAGGGAAGGATACAATGGTTCAGAACTGATTGACAAGGACCCACTAGTTATTGTGAAGGACAAGTTTGGGGAATTGATGCAGGAGGGGCTTCACGAATATAATAGGAGGCACTATTTATTAAATTTGGAAAAGAAAAGGAAGAAAGATTTGGCACCAGTTAGGCCAGCGGGAAGAAAGAGAGCAAGTGACGAATTTTCTGAACAAGACGATCAAGGAAGTAATCTAGGTGGAATATTAGACCCAGAAGAAAGAAAAAGATTTTATAAAGCTCTCTTCGATGACAATACTCCATAAACCTCAATTATTGTTCGAGAATTATCATCAGTGCTGTCTATTTTCTTTATTCCTGAACTTCCCATGTCCTGGATTCAGTATTTGTTCAGGTAGTATGTCTATCCAACCTTCAAAATTTAGTGTTTCCTCTAACTTGTTGGTTACAAAAATACTTCTTGATGACATTTCATTATGTTTGTCAACTACTTGTGTATAGTTTATTGTTTTTCATTCTGGACTTGTTTGATATGCATTACTGAACAAGACTCAACAAAAAATGGACAAAATTTTAATTTTTCGTCTTAACAGTATTGAGTAGAGTGCATTTAATCTTACCAAACGTGCGGTTGTTGTTGTTGGATTCTTTGAGTTGGTTTTATCTGACAATAAGATGGATTCTAACCAAGGTTGCTATGACTGAGAAAAAGGTTTTTGCTACTCTAGTCTTGGTCGCCTATATTAACCGTTCTTGATTGACCATGCAACAAGTCAATGTGAGTTATTTTATGGCCCTAATTTGCTGCATATTTTGCAATATCGAGTTTTGAGAATCTATTGATTATATTTAACAATTATTTGGGGTTGATGTACAAGACTGGTTAGGCTACTGCCTCATGGGCTAATATGAATATACAGTTATACGCATGTAGGCTGTTACTTATTGATGCTACGCTTATAAAGTGGCAGTTTGGTCCTATAATCTCAAACACTGGCGGTCTGTAATATTGCCGTTTTCTTTTCATTGGTTTTAAAAGTTTGACCGTTTTCTTTTCATTGGTTTTAAAAGGTAAATGGCCTTCTTGAGGGGTCTTGCATAAATCCATGTAGAATTGCTTGAATTTCTTCACTTAATATAGAGGGGGTTTCTATTCATGATTCGTTTATGTTGTATTTCTGTATAAAAGGGCTAAATGTCTAAATCTGTGAATTAATCTGAATGCTTGTTGGATTTCTGTTGCATTTGTAGCTGGTACTTTTTCTGTTTTTTGTTCTGTCGCAACTTGAAACTATTTATGTTAGAATTTTATATTTGCAAGGAAATAATTAAGGTGGACATCCGGATCAGTCACCTGAAGGCTTAATATCACATGGGCAAGTTGGGATATTGGATCTCAAAATTTGATTTATGGAGTGATGCCAGCCTCTATATAGATGTAAGTCCAACAATTTGGTATTTCCATCCAGCTAAATTTTACGGTTTTATTGCCTTGTTACTCCTTGTACCATCTTCATTTGCAACTACAAACATACAAGGGATCCAATGAACTTAGTAAATAATAAATCAACAGAGTATTAACCACATAAAAACCATCAATTCACAACTAGAACTAAAGCTTAAATCAAATGAATAACCGACAAATTTTGCTTACTTTGACTGTATAAGAAAATTTTGATAAGAAAACCCACAGGAAAGAAAATGGAAACAAAAGGATGGCTGCAAGAAAAATGTAAAGAAAGAGAAGAACCTCTCACCGGTTGTCTATGCTGAACAATTGTAACTTCACTTTGGGAGAGGGATCATACTTTAGTTGTTGAAGTACACGGTTAGGGTATGAACAGACTCTTCAGTTTCTGTCCGCTCTTCTCCAATTCTTTTCTTTTCTAGTTTTACAGTTGGTCTGTTCTATGAAGCTTAAAGAAACATTTTAAAAATTTTGTGGGCTATGAGAAACAAGCCTGAAAAGCTGAGGCTCTTAACAAAATAGTCCAAAAGCCCAAAAGAAAAATGGCTGGAGCACAAGCGTCAGCAGCCATGAGGCTTATGCCTTGAGGTGTGCAGCTTAGTAAGTCAAAGCGGAAGCCTTGAATCTGTGACAAATGACCCCAAAGCATATTTTCTGAAGCTCCTAATGAACGTCTCATACGTTGTGCCTCAAGGTGTAAGCCTCCTGCACTTTTAAGAGCACTCACAGCCTCTGAGTACTGCCAATTTCTGTTATGACCTCATTTCACATTCTTTTGAACTGGAGAATTCTTCATGTGGAGAAGTTGATACCTTAATTGTCTTCAGCAGCTCTTTCTAATCTGTGCTTCTAGTCCATGAATACAAAAGAAATAGGCTACATTGTACTCCTAGTTTTTAATTTGGCTTGGGTACGCCTAAAACAAAACGTAGCGCATCGTCTTCAACCTCCGTAGTTGCTGATATTTATGAATTGGTATACGTTTAATCATGACACATAACTTAAGTATTCTCTATTTAATTATCTTATCTTGTCATTTGAGGTGCAAAAGCATTCTATTAATATTCTTGTGGTAGTTTCGAAAAAGAAAAGTTATTCATTTTGTAATGTCAAAATGTGCTTTTGACTAGCGGATTCTTGTTGAAATGATTGCAGGAAAATGAACATTCGAGATATAGTCCTTGTAACGATTCTGCTAATGCTACAACAGAAGTTGGCTCTCTCAGGTGACGAACTCTTCTTTTTGGAGCTCACCTTGACAATTCGGTGGATCCTTCGAGATATCATGTAAGTTTAGATCAAGTCAATAGGTGCTCAGATATGCCTTATTACCTGTTTTTGTGGTCACAATTGGTCAACCACCAACCTTCTTGAAGCCCAAAGTATGCCTGCAGAAAAGGGGGAAATAACTACCCCATTGTACAACTGAAGCTCAAGTCAGTATATGACTGGAGGAAAATGTAACTAAATGACAAAATGCAAAAGCTTCAACGGGTCTTCTATCTTTCAGAAAAAGGCATATCTTGTCTAGGCAAAGTTTTGGAAATGATACCTTTATTTCCGTCTTCCAGATACTTTGTCGTCTACTTTAATTTCACGTTTCTGTAAATGTATATACGATTGTTTCTGGATTTTGTGTACCTAGAAAGCATGTAGGATATTTTATTTGTAGTTGGCCGAGGTCCATGTAATCGAATACGAGTTGAACAGATCTGATAGTCCTTATTATTACCATCTTATTTCTTAACTGATATAATCTATGTTCTCAATCAATGGAATGCTAAGAGGGCGAATTTTTACTCCAGAATTATTTAAATCTTTGAATTTGGATGAAATTCATCAATTAAGACATTACAACTGTACATGACTGTCAATTGAAGTGAAGATAAGTGGTTTGACAATTTTATCCTTTCATTATGATTTATGTAAAAATCACATACAATTTTAATGTCAACATTGGTGCATTAGTCATTTGATGTAAGTCCAAAACTTCACTTTTAAAGGTTGAGGGCCATAAATCACACCATGTGAAATATATGCGTACGTAAGAATAAATTAATTGCTAATACAAGGTTTGAGGTGATTTCAGCTGCATGATGGAGAATGGACCTCTAGATAGGGGCATAGGTTCAAGGTTAGACCGAATATTCCAAGAGCACTCATCCATTTACTCATTTAATGAAAATTAAGATTTTTACAGCTTTTTAAACTACCCAATCAAACCAAATTTTAGTGAATTTCAAGGAAAAAACCTTACAGAATATTCCAAGAGCACTCATCCATTTACTCATTTAATGAAAATTAAGATTTTTACAGCTTTTTAAGCTACCTAATCAAACCAAATTTTAGTGAATTTCAAGGAAAAAAAAAA